AACATAGCAAAACCCTGTCCCACAAAACAAAACAGCTGGGCCTGTAATCACACGCCTGTAATCCCAGTCCTTGGGAGGCAGAGACAGGATTGCTGCAAGTCTGAGGCCAGCCTGGGCTACACTGTGAGTTCAAGGCCAGCCTGAACAGCATAGCAAGACCCTGTCTCAAAAAAAAAAAAAAAAAAGAAGAAAGAAAGAAAAAGTCAGGTCCTACAAAGTAGTGAGCAGCAAAGAGGTAAAGTAGATGGCTTTGCGCTGGCCCATTCCCTGACTCGCTTTGATCAGAACCATTTCCCCAAGGACCAAGTAGGGTTAGAGACTCAGGATAATAAAAAGCATGGTCTCTAACCTGCACAAAATACCCAGGAGGAGCCGGGAAACACAGAACTCAACTCCCAGCTAGCAGCAGGTAGGCAAAAGACGTAAGTGCGTATTTAATCTCCCTTCAATCTCATCTTCACCGTGACCTTGTGTAAATGAAATCACCTGACTATACACAAACACTTGGTTATGTCCAGATCCACACATGCGATCAAAAGCCTGTGTTCAAAAAGATTCAAAGAAATCCTACTGCCTGGCTCCCCATGAAGCAAAGAGCCTGGAAAATGAGACTTTTGTTTCTAAAACATCTTTTGTGCCAGCCTCTGTAGCAAGAAGCAATCCATCTTCCACCTTATTTTTTTCCTTTTTTTTTTAAGTTTCTGAGACAAGGTCTCACTATGTAGTTCAGGCTGGTCTTGAACTCACTATGTAGCCCAGGCTGGCCTTGAAATTAAAGTGGTCCTCCTGCCTCAGCCTCCCCTGTCGCTGGGATTACAGATGAGGACGACTGCTACCACCTGGATTTTTTTTTTTTTTTTTGGTACTGGGAATTGGAACTCACGACCTTGCACTTGTCAGGAAGGTGCTTGTGCTGCTGAGCTATATCAGGAAGGTGCTTGTGCTGCTGAGCTATATCCCTGGCTGGACTTTTTTTTTTAAATGCAGTGGGGATAACAGCCAAGGTCTCAGGCTTGTTAGTGAACACTCTACCACTAAGCTATGCCCCAGCCCTGGAAATATTTATTTCAGTTTAACAACACCAGATTGGAAATGTGCTTAACAGCTTTTGAGCCAGGAAGCGAGTAATGACTTAAATTTGTGCAGCCTTTGCTTCATCCTGAGTGCTGTGTCTCTCCCCAGGACCGCGTGAGGGGCGCCGTCACCACGTGAACTGCATGGGTGAGCAGGCGCTGGGAGAGGAAGCAACAGGAAGTGATGTGGAGGTACCCCAGAAGTACCAGACCAGCACAGAGCACCAGGCACTTGGGACCCAGCTGCACGGCCCCTCTGTCAGGAAAGCATCCCAACACGTGGTCATGTCCCCAGGTCCCCAGGGCCAAGAAAGGAACCAGGACCCCACATCTGCGCCATACCACAGACTAGAGTTGTGTCACAACAACCTGTGCACTTTGTAATCCAGGCTGGCCTTGAACTCATAGGGCTCTTCCCGCCTCAGCCTCCTGAGTGCTGGGATTACATGCATGTGCCACTATCCCTGGCTTCCTGTTGGCTTGTTAAGATAATGAACCACCAAAGTTCATTCAACAGCTGGGGCCCTGACCTCACACCCTCAGTTATCTCGGATGTGGCCCTGACCTCACGCCCATAGTTATCTTGGAAGCAAATGAAACACAAATCGATTTGGATCTAACATCTTAAAGTCCCGCACCTAAGGCCCGCACCGTGGTGGCGCATGCCTGTAATCCCAGCACTCGGGAGGCTGAGGCAGGAGGATCATTGCAAGTTCGAGACCAGCCTAGGCTACAAAGTGAGCTCAAGGCCAGCCTGAACTGCGTAGCGAGACCCTGTCTCAGAAAGACAAAAAAAGAAAAGAAAAAAAAAAAGTCCCCCACGTAAGGGAGGTTCGAATCCTGCCTCAGCGGCAGACGGGAATTAGCTCAAGTGGCTCCGAGGTCCTGAGTCCCCCACAGCGCTGGCCTGGGTCACACAAGGAAGCCCCTCGTCCTCCAACCTCAAACATGGCCTCCCTCTGCGTGCTGCAGGGACCTCCGACCGCCCCTTCCCGCGGCCGGCCTCAGGGAGGCACAGCTCTCCTTCCCAAGGACTACAGCCAACTAAGGAAGATTTGGGGGGTGTTTTGGACTCACTCTTGCTGGCCTTGAACTCACAGCACTCACAGGGGTCCTCCTGCCTTGCCTCGGAGCTGGGGTGACGGTGGTGTCACCAGAGAAGAAATGAGGCAACAGAATTACAGGAAGTCACTGCAAGGCTGAAGGTGAAAGCTCATCTCCCCGACGGCCCCGGGCGCGGAAGGAAGGAGGTTACGCCATGGAAAGTCACTGGGCTCAAAGGCCAGGCCGGGGTGGACGAGAGGAGAGCGCTGCATTACTAATTGACCGTGAGAGGGACGAGGGAGGAAAGTGGTAAATAACACCACAGGGCTGCGCATAACTATGTTCAAAATAGTGTCTAACAAGCGGTTCAGGGGCTGTGTGTGGTGGTGCACGCCTGTGCCTTCAGCCTCTGGGACAGCCCAGCCCGGTCAGCTTAGTGAGTTCCTGTCTCAAGAACAAAAACAAAAATAAAATAAATAAATAGGACTGAGAATGTAGCTCAATGTGAAGGCCCTGGGTTCAAGCCCCAGTACTTTAAAAAAAAAAAAAAAAAAAAAAAAAAAAAAAAAAAAAACTAACCTGGGAAAAAAAAAAAAAAAAAAAAAAAAAGCATACATTTTCTGAAATACTTAGAATTGGACAGGCAGGCATGGTGGTGTATGCCAGTAATCCCAGCACTTGGGAGGCTGAGGCAGAAGGATCATTGCAGAGTTCAAGGCCAGCCTGGGCTACAAAGTGAGTTCAAGCCTAGCCTGAACTGCATAGGGAGAATTCTGTCTCGAAAAAAAAATGTAAAAACCTCAATAATAATAATAATAATAAAGTTGGGAAATAGAAATATTCAAACAAACCTGAGATTATATATTGTGACTTATGAGCCCACCTAACCCACCAGCGTTCACATTTCAAGGATGGCCACTTGCAGTATCAGCTAAGACCCGACATCTCCTATAACAGATTTGGTCTTTTTCTGGGTAGCAGACTATTCCAGTTTCCCCTCTGACAAGATGTGCCGCTGAACCCCGATAACTCTGGAAATGTGGCTGGTGCAGTGTCAGAACTGGGTGACTTAACATATCAAACCCTACCTCCAGGTTTCTCAAAGAAACACCTGTAAGGGAAGGAGGCGGACTCGGCCACAGTGTATTTATGGTTTCTGTTGATGAAAATAAGTTACCTTCGCTCAGTAATGTGTTATGAATAACGCTGAACTCAATTCTCCAGCAAACAACCTAAAGATTCCTATGGAAAGCTGGAGACTAAGTTCACAGAAATGCTCGCTTCTTTACAAAATGAACCTAACTTCAAAGCATTTCCCTGATGGACACTTTCACTTCTGAGATGCAAGCCCCATGTACAGAACAGGACTGCACCTTTGACAATAAATTCAGGGAAGGGTGGGACACTGGGGCTGCCAAAAAAAAATCAGGACAACACTTAACCATTTTTTTTTTCTTTTGTTGGGACTGGTGATAGAACCCACAGCCTTTCACACTGAGCTATATCCCCAACATGACAGGGTCAAAATCACTGACTGACTACCCTAGCTGGAACTTGAGACTGTCCTGTCTCAGCCTCCCAGAATGCTAGGATTATAAGGATGCACTACACTGTGACTGGCTTCCTCTTTTTATACAGATCCAAAAGTTAATCTTAAATCATTGGGCCATTATTTTATTGGGAACTTTTATATCATGTTATGTATCTTAATTGTACCTAATTTTTATTTTCAATTTAAAAATGTTTTGGGGGGCTAGGAGTGTCACTCAGCGTGAGAACACATCTTGAACAGGCACTAGGACTTGAGCTTAGGCCCTAGGGCTAAAAAGAGAAGATAAATACTTTCTCAAAGAAATCTTGGGCGGGGCATCTAGCTCAGTAGTAGAGTGCTTGCGTGGCACTCAAGGCCCTGGGTTCATTCCCTAGAGTTACAAAAACTAGAAGGAAGCAGGATATGGTGGTGCACACTTGTGATCCCAGCACTCCGAGGCTGAGGCGGGAGGATAATCGTGAGTTTAAGGTCACATAGTGAGTTCAAGGGTAGCCTGGACCACATAGTGAGATCCTGTCTCAAAAAAAAAAAAAAAAAAACCCAAAAACTAGAAAAAAGAAAGAAATCTTTATAGATACAGAATAAAAATACCTGCCATGTAGTTCTGTATTAGACTGCTGACTAGAGTTTCTAAGTAATTTAAAATTAACAACAATGTACACAGACCAACTCCCTTTGAAAAATGTAATTATTAGTCCTGCAACATAAACTAATACAAACAAAAATTAAACCAGACCTGGTGGTACACACCGATCATCCTGGCACACACCAGACTGAGGCATAAGCATCCCCTCAAGTTCAGTGCCAGCTTGAATTACATAAACCAAGACCCTGTCTCAAAAAACAAAGACGCACAGGGAGTGGTGGCCACACCTATAATCCTAGCACTCCAGAGGCTGAGGCAGGAAGATCGCCACAAGCTTGAGGCCAGCCTGGGCTACATATTAAGTTCAAGAACAGTCTGAACTGCATAAGGAGATCCTCTGTCAAAAATAAACAAAAAACAGAAACAAAAACCTACAAATAAAAATGGGTTAACAGTGACTGGCCAAGACCCAGAGCCTGTTATCCTCTTGTCCTCCTGACCTCGGGGCGCACCCCGCCTGGGGAAGCAGCCAGCCTGGGACCCACCTGTCCCCTTGGACTCCCCGTGAGCCCCACCTGCAGCCACTGCAATCACCCAGACCCGGCCGCGGTTCTAATCCTGGCATCATCACATCCCCTCAAGCCCAGATTCCACAGCGTCCACAGCCTACCCACCTCGCAGCTGCCTGCAGGCTGGAGCTGGGGACAGAGTCAGTAGGAGAGTGCTCTCACCGGCGCGCTCTCACCTTTCCCAGCCAAGCTCAGGCCGTCCTCCAGAGGGTCAGCATGGGCCCACGGTGTCCCAGAAACGGCTACCTTGAGTGAGGTGTGCTCCAGTCCCAACCCTTCCCACAGGAAAGCACAGGATATGACGTAAGCTACAACAAACAGCGAAACAAAAATCCCACATTTGCTGGGCGGGGTGGGGGGGCGTGCCTGTAATCCCAGCACTCTGGAGGCTGAGGCTGGAGGACTGCCCCAAGTGAAATGCTACACTGAGTTACACAGTGAGACTCTGTCTCATAAAAACCAAAAACTGCCAGGTGTGGGAGTGCTGTAATCCAGGTACCTGGGAGGCTGAGGCAGGAGGATCTTGCAAGTTTGAGAGAGGCTGTATCAAAACAGAAACAAAAGAAAAAACACCCTACAATTAGCTTCAGAATGTGCCGGGCGCCTTGGGAGGCCCAGCACCACACTCAGGCGCAAGCCCAATGGCTCCTTTTCAAATATGTCACTCTGGAAATGCTCGAGCAGTTTCTTGGATGACGTGTAACACTTTCTGTAACTTTAGTCCTCAGAATAACAGACGAACACATCAACACTCGAAGGGCCAGCTTGCAATCAGAGTGCAGACATCCGATGTCCCTGTCTCAGAAATCGGGACGCCTCGGGAAGGCGCTGTGCTCCCCAAGAACCCCGTGTCTCCACCTGCAGCCCAGGGAGAAACTGCTCCTCTTTCTCCTGCTGGACGGGGAGAGTCGTGGGAGGGCCCAGCCTGTGCTGCCCTGGGGGTGACCGCACCTGGTGGGTGACACCTGGGACCCACAGCTACCAGCGCCAGTCACCTGACACCTGCGCGCCGGGAGTGCCCACCCTGCTCAGGCACCGCAGGGGACATTCCCTGGAAATGCCGAGGTGGACGGGCCAGCACCCTGGGCGCCGGGCTTGAGTCACTCGGTTGCCTAGCAACGCGTGCTTGGCGGGAGGCCCGCGATGGGACACTCCCTCCTCTGCTGCTGCTGACTCAAGGCAGCTGCCCGCCCACTTTCTAAACTGCTCCTGGGCTCCTGCCACCGTCCCCTGGAGAGCCAGGCATGGAGGCGCGTGCCTGGCATCCTAGCACCCTGGGAGGCTGAGGCAGGAGGTTCCAGGCAAGTTTCAGACCAGCCTGGGCTACATGGTGAAATCAAAAACAAAACCAAACCTCTGCTTTTAAGGCAGGAAAGCTCAAAAGGCAGAGAATCAACAGAACCCTTATAACTGAAAGACATTTTCCCCTATTGAAACCCTTCAAGACTGAAGGTCACTTTCGGATTCTTCTACACGGGGGCCAGATTTACAGTTCAGCTCGGCCAGCCGTGAGTTTCTCTGAATCACAGCTAAGCAAGCCGCCTCCGCACTGAGGCTGACTCACAAATGCTGACCTCACAGCCAGGGAGAATTTTTTCGTATTTATTCATGGAGAGGCTGAGTCACTGGACAAGCCAAACGCAGATAAATAAACTCTTATACACTTTCTTTTTTCACTAGCGGGGACTGAACAAGGGCCTTCACACTGAGCTACATCCCTGATCCCTTTGTAACTTTTTAAAATTTTGAGTCAGGGTCTCACTAAATTGTTTAACTGCCCAGACTAGGCTCAAATTTGCAATCCTCCTGCTTTAGCCTCCCTGAGCACTAGGATTACAGGTACGCACCAGCATGCCCATCACTTTTAGCTTTTATAACAAGAGTTGACGGCCATAATATAAGCAGCTCTACAATTGAGAGGGTTCGCCGGGCGTGGTGGCACACACCTGTAATCCCAGCATTCACCTGTAATCCCAGCACTCGGGAGGCTGAGGCAGGAGGATCACTGTGAGTTCAAGACCAGCCTGGGCTACAAAGTGAGCTCAAGGCCAGCCTGAACTGCATATCGAGACCCTGTCTCAAAAAGACAAAAACAAAAAAAAAAAATTGAGAGGGTTCGTGCTCAAATACCAACATGAACGGACGGCTCAGAAGGCACATGCACCAGTCCCTGCAGAAGTCTAGAATGTAACACCAAGCTTGAGTCCAATATGAAGTCCCCAGTGGTGACTGTTTTTCCCCTAATATCTTATAGTGCAACCATCTTCCTTAGCCATTTCTATGCACTTAACATTCAAATGAACAAAAGCACCTTAAGAAAAATAAGCCATATACATCTACGCACACCAGGTATAGGGATGAGTTTTCTCTTTTGAAGGGAATGGTTTTGTTTTTCTGTTTGAGACAAATTCTCACTCTGTCGTTCTGGCTGGCCTTGAAATCACAGCAATCCTTCTGCCTCAGCCTCCCAGTGCTGGGATCACAGCTGCGGCCTTGCCTCATCTAGTGAGGGTTTTGTTGTTGTTTTTTGAGTTTCTGTGCATTTGTTACCTTTAAATGTCCTTCTCAGGGGACACAGCTGCTATAGATACAAGATGTCAGGGTGTCCCCAGACGTCTCCTCTAATCTTAGCAGGGCGTCCTGCATCCTTCGTTTAATACCGTTGGCCTTATGGATACCAAAGTCATTTTAGAAATGTTTTTTCTGTCTTTCCTCAACAAATAATCTTTATTATAGACAACTAAGTTAGGTAGGAATATTGCAGGCGTCAGAGGGGGCCGAGCCCTCGCGGGAGTCAGTGCAGACTAGACCGCATCAGAGCTGAGGATGGAAGCTACAGTCTCAAGGGTCAGATTCACATCCTTCCCTCAGGGCTGAGAGAGGCTTGGGATTTTTGGTATCACCCTTTGAGATTTCCCACCATCTCATCAGAGGTGAGCATCCTCTCCCTCCGAATAAGACAAAGCCAACACTATGGATTATCGAGGAAGGTTAACAGCGTCACCCACGTACCCTTATTACCGTTAGATCAGTATTATCCAAATGACTACTCGTACTTACTGGCTGATCACAGTGTTGACCCCCGATGTACCCACCTCATGATTCTGCTCTATAAAACTTCCTTTGAGACATGGGCTCCTCGACAACCCATTCAGGACCCCTCCTGTCTCTCAGGAGCTATTTCTGTTCCCCATTCCAGGGGCTGGGGACTTAGCTCAGGGGCACAGTGCCTACCTGGCAGGCATGAGGTCGTGAGTTGGATTCCCGGTACCAGAAAAAAAAAAAAAAAAGAGTTCCAAAACCTATTCCCTATTCCTTTTCTCCAATAAATTTTCTACTCTTAACCCCCACTGTTTCTTAGAATTCATTCTTTAGATTCAGAGAACATGACCTGGGCGTATGTGACACCTGGCACTTCCGCTGTATCCATTCTAACACCGGGGCGCCCTTCAGTGTGAGAGCTGAGAGTGCTATCCACGCTGAGAGCAGGGACTTCAGTTTGACGCTGTTAACCTTCCTCGATAATCCATAGTGTTGGCTTTGTCTTATTCGGAGGGCTTCACATGTTCCGGGAGGAAGGAGGCTCAGCAGCCAGGCCAGGCCTTCTTCCCAGAGGATATCTGGGTTTTTCTAAGGATAAGGGTGGGGGGATGCTTTGTCTTTTGTCTTGAAGGAATCCCACTTACACAGGGCGGTGACAGCACATCAGCACATACCTGTGACCTCAGCTGAGAGAGGATCACTGTGAGCTGAAGGCCAGCCTGGGCTACACTCAAAAAAAAAAATTGAATAATTTGGACACTGGACTGCTTAAGTACAATTCTATGGCTATGACTGCAGAGGTGTGTGTGCACACCTACTGAGGAAGGGGTCTGGAGCCAGGTTTTATTCCCCAGGAGGAAGCAAAAAGCCTTCGTGACCCTGAGTTATCTATTTATTTACTTATTTTTTTTTTCAAACAGGGTCCCACTACACAGCCGGCCTGGTCTTGCATTCCCAGTGATCCTCCTGCCTCTAGCTCCGAGTCCTGGGATCACAGGCATGGTCCACCTGGGATCCAGCTGCGTTCACTGTGGCCAGCACACAGGAAGCGTGGGTCCCCCACGTCCCTTGGTGGAATCCAGGACACAGGGGAAGGCCACTCGAGGGCAGCAGGGCCCAGCCAGCCCTCCCCAGGGCCACTACCGCATGGACACCTGGTCCCTTCAGCCCACCTCTTTCAGCCGGGCCGGGGAGGACACCACCCAGGCTCTCCAGCTCCAGCCTTGTGGGGACGGCGAGTACCTGGCCTCAAAACCAGCTGCTTTCAAGCTTAAAGGATGTGAGCAGCCAGGCGTGGACGGCAGGAAAGGGCATTCCTGTTGTCCCAGCCACCTGGGTTCCTAGCCCCGGTGGTCACCACAGATTTCACAGTACAGTAGACCCCAGATGCCCTTTTCTTTCTTTTTTTTTTTTTTTTTTTGTTTGTTTGTTTTTTTGGTTTTTGGTTTTTCTCTGGTACCAGGAACCGAACTCACGACCTTGCGCTTGCCAGGCAGGCGCTTTGCCACTGAGCTAAATCCCCAGCCCCAGATGCCCTTTTCTTTTAAGAGCCCAGTGACTGCAGAGCCTGCACGGGGCCCTCAGGACTGAGATATTCCCACAATGCACTGGGTGATGGGATGCACAGGGCGTCCCCACCCAGCTGTACCTGCCTCCCCGACACACAAGAGACCCACCCCAGGAGGCTATTCAGAGTCTTTTCTGCAGAGGAAACTGTTAATCCTTTTATGTAACTACAATATAACTGCACTCGTGCAAAAGGGATGGGAACCATGACACAAAGGAATAAACGAGAAATTAAGATGAGTTATATGCATGCACCAGCTCCCTGGGACGAGGTCCCGCAAACACAGACTAAAGAAAGTGTTAAAGGAAGCAAGACCGGACGTGTCTATGCGGGACGGTGTGATATTTTGGTCCATTTATCTGATGTGTAATGACCAGGTGAGGGTAAATAGCATTTCCGGGGCCTCCAATATTTATCATCTGTGTTTCCCAGGGAACTTTCAAGTCCTCTCGTGACTCTGAAATGGCAGTGCACTATTATTGCTAACTGCAGAGCACGGGGTTAATCCTCACCTTGTTAATTAGTGGCAGCACTGCCTGTTACGTGAACACACGCAGGGTGCAGCCAAGGCAAGCAGAACTTGAGGCTCAGGCACTCAGAGCAGCGCCCTGCAAAGAAGAAACAGCATCTAAAAATTAATCCCTGCATACAGCCAGCCGTGGTGGTGCACGCCCATGATTCCAGCACAAGGGAGGCTGAGGCAGGAGGATCACCATGAGTTTGAGGCCAGCCTGAGCTAC